AAGAAGCTACAAGAAACAACAGACTGGGACAGTTGCGTGGGCACCCAGGCTCACCCACACCCTGCCTTCCAGTTTGCTTCTGCATCCTACCCTGAGGAGGAGGCTCCTGGAAAGAAAGCAGGGGCTGTAGTAAAGGCGTCTCCCATCCATTCACCCATTCCCTCTCTTGCTTGCTGTGTGTGTGTGTGTGTGTGTGTGTGTGTGTGTGTGTGTGCGCGCGCGCGCCTTTACGGTTATTCATCCTTGAAATCACATTTGGTTTAAGCATACTTTCTCAGCGAATGAGTATCTCCATCATATTCTTCAAGGGTCTTGGTAACCTGAGCTTCCCCATTCCTGTCCTGGAGTGGCCCTCACAGGAGGGCCTATATTGATAAGGGAGGGAGGACCCTTCAGTGTCCCCTTTATGAAGGAGATTGAGGAGGAGGGTGGCTTGGAGCCAGCTGAGAGGCTTCAAAGAGCTTCCAGAACACTCTACCCCACAGCCCCTCGGCAGCTCCAGTCCCTTCCGCCTCGCAGCAGCTCTCGTGAGAACGCTGACGGCGAACAGGACTGCTCCCTTAGAACAGCTGTGACCTCAAACAAAACCTGCCCTCCTCTGAGATCAACTCCCTCATCAGTAAAATCAGTAAAACTCCCGCCCCCACCAAGACCAAAGCAACAATTCAGGGCTGTCGAGTCATGCTGTCTTACAGCAACCCCACAGAACAGGGTTAGAACTGCCCTGTGAGCTTCTGAGACGACCTCTTCAGTCGTAGAAAGCCCCATCCATCTCCTGAGGAGATGCTAGTGGTTTCAAACTGCTAACCTTTTGGATCGCAGCCCCCCACATAAGCGCTCATCCATCACTGAGCGGGAAGTGGTCAAGATCCACACGGTGATGTTGCAGAACACGGCAGCCGATGCCAGCATGCTCTCAGTGTGAGCCACGGAAACATCAAAGGAGGCCCCATCTGTGGTGAGCACCTTAACGCTCACAGCAGTGTGTGAGCAATATTCCAGGTGCCCATTTCTTAGACGAGGCCACTGAGAGCTGGAGTCAACAGATCACAAGCCAGCCAGGCTCCCCGGGACTCTAAGCAATGAGGACCCACTCAGTCACTATCACCCACTGCAGGACGGATGAGGAGCAGAGCTAGTCTTCTGCTTGTGGGCTGGGAGACCTTTGGTGAGTGCCTCCCTGGCTCTGGCAGCCAGTGTTCTCATCTCTGGAATGGGGCAATGGTGCTGAATTATGAACTCCCATCTCTTAGTGGCGGGTAACCGAGAAATGTTTGTTGAATGACTGACCCAAGGGTGCCGTCCCACTTTTGCTGCCAGGCACAGTGAAGACCCTACCATTGTCCACCCCCAGCCCTGCCACTCAATTACAAGGGCAGGGCAGAGGGGCTATAAAATCACAGGGAGGGTGCCCACACGGACCGAAAGTCTAAGGACCCCCAGGTCAAAGTGAAGGAAGCCTCTTGAAGAAGAAGAGAAGAAAAGTGCACACCTCACACCATCCCCCTCACACCTGCCTCACACCTGCATGGAGATGCATTGCCACTCCCCTGTACTAGCATCCCCATCGCTCACTGGAGACACAGCACTACGGGCTGCCACCAGCATGGGCCCTACACACAGCTCAGCTGGCAGACAGTCACACACACACATCACACAGCTGTCCACGCACGCCAGGAGGCACCACCGCCCACACACAGCCCTACCTGGAGCAGCAGAGCACAGAGAGTCCACCCACCCCCCCTCGGAGGCGGGCAGATGCCCGCTGTTTTTGCAAAGCCCACAAGGTGCTTTGTCATCTACTCAGAACATCCCACTGAAAGCTGCCCCTGGGCCTGTCACAAAGATGAGAGTTGTGGTCCCAGGTCTTTACCTGCAAAGGCATGTGCTTTACCCAAAGCGTCCCTCGGGGCCACATGACACCTGTGTCCTTCCCTCCCCACCTCCTATCCTCCAGCCCACGAGGGGACATAGTCATGCCATGCTGGGTACCAGAGTTCGCAAAGAATCATGGGCCCGGCTTGGCCATGGTTGATCCCTGTGAGCCATGCAAAGCCCTAGCTTTGTATCAAGCAGCGAGGATGACACTATTTGTGACAAGTGGCACAAATTCTGACTCCTAGTGCTACCACTGCCATCAAGTTCATTCCACTCAATGTCCCAATGTCGAGTCTCTGCCCTTGTAAATCTCTGTGGGGTAGATGCTTCGCTCTTGGAGTGGCTGACGAGTTTAAATCACCTAAAACCTCATCCACGGTACTGCCAAGGCTCCTTCGGACCCAGATGAGGCCCTCCTAAATGGCTAGTCCCTCGTTGGAGTGCAGGGGGCCCTCAGTGCACCCCTTTCCCATACCCAAGCCAGGCTAAGGAAGAAAACAGACATAGGACACCCTGAAGCCTCCAAGAACTGACCGCTACGTCTGGGGATTGAAGGTGGGGGGCAGGTGGGCGGAGATGCCCCTCACACTCACTGCCAGAAGCCCCCCACCCCCCACCCCATCAGTGGGGAAGGAGATGCACTAGCCATGGGGATGCAGTCAAGAGGGGCGTCCTGCAGAGTGGGGTCTCAGGCAAAGCAGGGACTGAGTGGTGGGGACACCTGACGCCTCTGCTAGCCCTGCCTGTCCCACTGGTCCCAGGTGGGGCTGGGGAGAGGATGAGAGGCCTAGTAACAGAAGGATTCGAAGGGAAGGCACTTCCATCCCACCAGAGGAGGCCAGTCAGAAGCATGGGGAGTGGGGGGGCGGGGGACTAGCAGACTGGCAATGTGAGCTCCAGATGCATCTGAAGGGAGGGGAGTCCCTGCGGCCAGACCCACAGGAAAGCTCAAGGGGAGAGATGGAGAGGGAGGTGGGGAGAAACAGAGGACTGGAAGGAAGGAAGGAAGGAAGGA